TATTTTTATATATATTTATGTTTATATAATTATTTATTATATATATATATATATTCTTCTATCTACCTACATATTTATCTATCTATCTATCTATCTATATTGCTGGACCCTTCTTGCTGCTGCCCCATTTTCCTTCTGCCTCGACTATCTCACCTCAGGCCTAGTTTATATTAAACTAACTTTGTGAGATGGTCACGTTGGGGTGGACACAACAAGTTCGCTTTTCGTCTCTGCAATGCAATGGTGGCATCAGCCGGTCCTCTTTGGCCGTCTAACTGCTGAGCTATCCCTCAATCTCCTGCTGGGCCATTGTTGCCCGTCCTGTTTAGCGGAATTCGTCGGCCAGTCGAGCAGAGAGCGAGTTATTTAACGGCCTCCTCATTTGAGCTGTAACTGTGTCAGGCAAGATGTGAAAATAGTAACTTGTCTTTCTTAAGTGCCTTCTCAGACGTGAGTGCATCTGTGCAGATTGGTACAGAAGCATGCACATAACGGTGTGTATTTTCGGCCGAAGACTCATGCCTACATACGCCATCGCGCTTGTGTAACAAAAGCTGGAGAGAGGACGAGAGAGTAGGAATAACGGATGCTTAATCTGACAGTTTGGTTGTAGAGGATTCGCTGATAATGCATTTGTCCCATTGACTGAGGTGCAATCGTCGTAACAGCTCTGTACGGACTCGGGTTGGTGAGTGGTGGGGACGCGCCAATGGAGTGAGAGAGGTGGGCAGAAGAGAGACGAGTACAGGAATGGGTGTTGTGGGCAATCGGATCGTGAAAGGCGAGAATTGGAAAGGTGGAGAAGTGAAGGACGAATTATGCAGCAGGGTTGCATGACAAGGGTACAGGAAAATAAGTAGTGAGGTAACTGGCGATACGGCCAAATGGAGAGGGTTAACAAGACAAAAAAGAGGCGACAATTGCACAAACTCACCCCAAGAAGGCAATATGAGGAGACTATCCGACAGTCTGCTCCTATTGTAGCCTAGAAGGCAAGCATAAAACTCCAATGTGCATATACGTGATACAGGTCTAGTTGCTCAACTCCAGATAGTCATTCTGGCTCGACATCAGTCTCTTATCTAATGTAATATCATTTAATCCAATATAATATAATATAATATAATATAATATAATATAATATAATATAATATAATATAATATAATATAATATAATATGATTTAATTTAATTTAATTTAATTTAATTTAATTTAATTTAATTTAATTTAATTTAATTTAATTTAATTTAATTTACTTTAATTTAATTTAATTTAATATAATTTAATTTAATTTAATATAATATAATATAATATATTATATTATAATATAATATATAAAAATACAATTTAATTTAATTTAATTTAATCCAATAAAATCTAATCTAATTCGATCAAATCGAATTAAATGGAAGCTAATCTAATCTAATCTGATCTAATCTAATCTAATTTGAATTACTCAAATCTAAGCGAAGCTAAGCTAATCTCATCTAATATAGTCTAATGAGATGTATTTACCCTATTTCGTGTAAGGTGATGAAGGACTGGTAGTAGAATTTCCCACAATAATATGAGTTTAGCTGACT